CGTCTATCGGACACAGGAACGACTGGAAGCCAGAGTCATATTTAGTTCTATTTTTCTGGAACTGATCTACTAATCAGTGTTAAAACAAAACACTGCAACGGGTGCATTATAAACATTTGAGTTTATTGAACTGAACTTGAACATTTCACAACCAAACAGGTGATCAATCATATTTGTTTGATGGACTAGTGAATCATTTTGCCGGATCACTTTGGTATCTGACAAGAAATTATTTTCTGGGTTAAATTTTCTAGCCGTTTTTTTCCTAATTGAAGTGTTTCAATTATTACTATGGTCTTACTTACCTGAAGAGTGCTGAAGTTGTTTATATTTACCTTTTACATTTTGTTTTTGTGAAGAAAACACTTGACATAGTGTGAAAAGCCTTTATTTTATTTTATTACTTTATATTTGGGGAAATATACATTTCAAAGTCCAAATTTGAGAATAATTAGTTTGTTATTTTATTTAATTTATTTCATTTCTCACTAATATTTACAATATAAATCATATATATTTTGATACAAAAATTCCTGTCTTGTGTCATCATTTCCCTTGTCTTGCTGCAAAGTTGGCTCCAGAGCGAACTTAAACTTCTGATAACTTGGTCCAAAGTTGATAGTATAATATTGTAATCTCCTTGGTTTCTATATCGTGCGGGTTACAGTAAAGTTGGCGAGCCAGCCAGGAGTCTAATTATTGCAGCAAGGGTGTCAAACGACAAGAAAAAGGGAATTGTATCAGTAGCAAACCGTTTTAAAAATTTGAGCTGTCATAATGGATGTCGTAAGACGAGAAAATATAACTGTAGCGAACTCTCTCATAGTAAGCGGTCTAACGTTAACTGAGTTAGATAATGAGCTGGAAGCATATTTGCTGAGATACGGCTCTATCCGTCGCAACGTGATAATTGATGACCCAGCATCAGACTTTCACAAGCTGCTGATTGTGGAGTTTAATGAAAACTCTGCGTTTCAAACTTTGCATCCCCATTTGCCCCTGACTTTGGGAAGTCTTTCTGATCCAAGCATTACCTTTCGGGTACGCGCTTTAGCCGCTGTGTGTGACCCACCTGTCGTTAGCACTGCCACTGAAGGGTACCTTGAGCAATTGAAGGCCATAGCCAAAGAGAGTGGAAGGCCTTTCCAAACCGTGTTGCAGGAGGAGTTAGAGAAACTTAAAGAAACTCATTCAGTAGACCAAACTCTAGCAGAATCTCAAAAGATAGAGGTTGCTGACACACAGTCTAGAGATAACACTCTGATTTCTGAATCACCTAATGTAGCAGAGATAGACCCCCAAGATTCCGAATCCAAAAACCCAACCAAGAATAGAATCATTTATGTGTCCCCGCCTTCACCCGAAACTACCGCTGATGATAACCTTACAACAGTTTTTCCTTCCTCTTCGACAAACATAATGGGCGATCCCCAGGTTCAAAGAATGGTAGTTGAGCATGTAGTAAAAACGAGTGATGCCATGATGTCTCAGCAGACATCCATTCGTCTTAGGGTCTTTTCAGGGAAGAGTCCCCGCCCCCCTAACGAACCTGATTATGACACCTGGCGTGCCAGTGTTGACTATTTGCTTAATGACCCATCTATTTCAGACCTGCATAGAACACGTAAAATCCTGGACAGTCTCTTACCTCCAGCCGCAGATGTAGTTAAACATGTGCGTCCCCCAGCCCTTCCTGCTGTCTATCTTGAGTTGCTGGAGTCCGTTTATGGTTCTGTTGAAGATGGAGACGAACTGTTAGCAAAACTAATGGGTACTTTTCAGAATCAAAATGAAAAATCATCCGACTATCTCCATCGCCTTCAAGTCCTGTTAAGCGCAGTAATCAGGCGAGGTGGTATAAAAGAGAGTGAACGTAACCGTTATCTTATAAAACAGTTCTGTAGAGGGTGCTGGGATAGCCGCCTCATTGTTGATCTTCAGCTTGAGAAAAAAGAGGGCCAGTTACTTACCTTTGCTGAATTAACCATACTAATTCGAACTCAGGAAGACAAAAATGCTTCTAAGGAGGAGCGTATGAGGAAACACTTTGGGATGACAAAGCCAGCAAATGTTTACCCAAAGACACGAGCTATCTCAAACCAAGTGTCAGCTTGTGCATGCGACGTGTCTAGCACTTATAGTTCCGAAGCAGGATCTTTAAAGAAACAAGTCGCAGAAATTCAAGCTCAAGTCGCCACTTTAAAACAGTCTCCTGATAAAAAGAGTATTAAAGGTCAATCAGAAAGGGCTGAGTTAGTTGCTTTAAAGAGGACTGTTGAAGACCTTTGCGTTCAGGTGGCTGCTGTAAAAGCATCTGTTGCTGAGGGACTAAAAGGGAACAATCCAGAGCAATCAGAAATTGCCAGATTGCAGCGACAGGTAGCAGAGCTACAAGCACAAGGTATTGTACAGAAAGCATATCAAGCTCCTCATATGCAGAGATCTCCTGGAACTGAAATTGGCAGAGCTCTCAAGAAAGAGCCTTTAAGAACTAACAGACCTAGGCCAGGGTACTGTTTTCGATGCGGAGATGATGGGCATTTGGCAGTCAACTGTGAAAACCCTGCAAATCCTCCAAAAGTTGAGGAAAAGCGGCTCAAGCTGAGAGAGCAGCAGCATCAGTGGGATATCCTACATGGAAGACCCGCCCAGTTTTTAAACTAGGTGAGGTCTCTATAGCGGGGCATATGGAGGCCAAACTTTATAATAGCCGCCCTGGATGTTATAAACAGATACCCGAGCTCAGTCAAACCACTGTGTCTTTCAAACATTTACCCAAAGGTCTGGTAGGAACCAAATGTACAGCCCAAGTCACCATTGGGGGGATGGAGGTAAACTGCCTTTTAGACACGGGGTCGCAGGTCACCACAATACCCCATTCGTTTTACAAAGCACATTTATCTGATTTCCCTTTGGAGCCCTTGAAAAATCTACTGGAGGTAGAAGGAGCTAATGGACAGGCTGTGCCATATTTAGGGTACATCGAACTTACCTTGAAATTCCCCAAAGAATTCATTGGGGCAGAGGTTGAGGTTCCTACATTAGCTTTAGTTGTTCCAGATTTAACCAGTTTTTCCCAAATTTTAGTTGGAACAAACTCGTTAGATGTGCTTTATGGTAAATGTGCTCAAGATTGTGCAGCTGATGTCAAGTCTAGTTTTCCTGGCTATCAAGCTGTGCTTAAAGTGTTGGAAGCTAGATGGAGGCAGGCCAGCAGTGAAACCCTTGGTTATGTAAAATTCAAGGGAAACTCCCCTGAGATAGTACCTGCAGGAGGAATGGTGGTGTTAGAGGGTCAAGCCCATTTTAATGGTCCCCACACAGAAAAACTGGTAACACTCGAACCACCCTCCGTTCCTTTGCCCAATGGTCTTCTTATTGCTAGTTGCTTGCACACATTACCGAATAAACGTCTTTCCAAGCTGTCAGTTCTGTTAAGAAATACCACGCAAACTGACATAGCAGTTCCTCCTAAAGTCATGTTAGCCGAGATTCATGCTATTCAAAGTGTCCTGAACCAGCATCATCAGAGTTCAGATGCTAAAGCTGAAGAGTCAATACCCACCTGTGCCAACTTAACATTTGACTTTGGCGACTCTCTGCCCACGACCTGGAAAGAAAGGATAACAAAACTGTTAAACTCTATGCCGGAAGTTTTCTCCCTGCATGATTTGGATTTTGGTCACACAAAGAAGGTCAAGCACCAAATAAAGTTAAACGACGAGACACCATTCAAACAAAGGGCCAGGCCCATACATCCCCAAGACATAGACGCTGTGAGGAGGCACCTCCAAGAGTTGCTAGTTACTGGTGTTATCCGGGAGTCTGATTCTCCATTTGCTTCACCCATAGTTGTTGTCCGGAAAAAAGATGGCTCAGTGCGGCTATGTGTTGACTTCCGGAAGCTAAATGCACAGACAATAAAAGACGCCTATGCGTTACCAAATTTAGAGGAGGCTTTCTCCACACTGACGGGCTCAAAATGGTTTTCTGTGCTCGATCTGAAGTCTGGGTTTTATCAGATAGAGATGGAGGAAGTTGATAAGGCCAAGACTGCATTTGTCTGTCCACTTGGCTTCTGGGAGTTCAACCGTATGCCGCAGGGAATTACAAATGCCCCTAGCACCTTTCAAAGGATTATGGAACGGTGCATGGGAGATCTAAATCGGAAGCAAGTCCTTGTCTTTATTGATGACCTCATTGTTTTTTCTGATACTTTAGAGGAACATGAGTCCCGGTTGTTGCAAGTCCTTAACCGACTTAAGGAGTATGGATTGAAATTGTCACCTGAGAAGTGCCGGTTCTTCCAAACCTCAGTGAAGTACCTTGGCCACATTGTTTCCCACAATGGGGTGGAAACAGACCCTGCAAAGGTAGAAGCTTTAAAGACCTGGCCAAGGCCAAGAAACCTAAAAGAGCTAAGGTCCTTTTTAGGCTTCGCTGGATATTACAGGAGGTTTGTGCGTGACTTTTCAAAGATAGTTAAACCGTTAACTGACCTTACTGCAGGATATCCTCCTCTTAGAAAGAGTTGTAACACGAAGCAGAAAGACTGTGAATATTTCAATCCCAAAGCGGAATTTGACACTCGATGGACTACAGACTGTCAGGATGCATTTGACTCCATAATCGACAATCTCACATCTGCACCTATATTGGGCTTTGCAAACCCCAAACATCCCTATGTGCTACACACCGATGCAAGTACCACCGGGCTCGGTGCAGCTTTGTACCAAGAACAAGAGGAGCAGCTGCGAGTCATAGCTTATGCTAGTAGAGGGTTGACTAAAGGTGAGAGCAGGTACCCTGCACATAAACTTGAATTTTTAGCGCTAAAATGGGCTGTAACTTCCAAGTTTAATGACTACCTTTACGGTGCAGAATTTACTGTTGTGACAGATAGCAACCCTCTAACATATATATTAACTTCGGCAAAACTTGACGCTACCAGTTACCGCTGGTTGTCCAGTCTATCGACTTATAATTTTAAGTTGCAGTACAGGGCAGGGAGTCAAAACCAAGATGCAGATGGTCTCTCTCGAAGGCCACATGGTGAGCTTGTGGATGACCTAACCTCACTAAAAGAGAGGGAAAGGATTAGGCAATTCACTTTGCACCATCTTATGGAGTCAGAAGATGAGTCACCTGTTGTGATGGCAGAAGTAGTGAAAGCGATCTGCGAAAAGCATCAAGTAGTTGGGTCACCCCAAGGACTCCATTGTATCCCTTCGATTACTTTGGTTGAGTCTCTTACCCACTGTGTGGATGTCCTTCCATACGAGTTCCAGCATGAGGATGAACATGGTCTCCCAAGTCTCCCTCATCTCTCACAAGCTGCTTTGGCAGAGTTGCAGAGAAAGGATCCAGAGTTGAAAATTGTCATTGAAAGAGTAGAAAGTGGGGTTAAGCCTTGTAAGTTAAAGGAACTATCTTCTGCTGTGAGCTTATGGTTAAAGGAATGGAAGCGTCTTGAGTTGAGGAGTAATGTTCTGTACAGAAAGAGGCAGGAACACGGAGCTTCATCATACCAGTTGGCTTTACCTACCTCACTTAGAAACACCGTATTACAGAGTCTCCATGATGACATGGGTCATCTTGGTATTGAACGAACACTGGATCTTGTGAGGACAAGATTCTTTTGGCCGAAAATGTCTCATGCAGTGGTACAGAAGGTAAAAACCTGTGAACGCTGTGTTCGGCGGAAAACACCTCCTGAAAAAGCAGCTCCTTTGGTTAATATTCAAACAAGTAGGCCCCTTGAGTTGGTGTGCATTGATTTCCTATCCTTAGAGCCGGACCAAAGCAACACTAAGAACATTCTGGTTATCACTGACCATTTTACAAAGTATGCTATGGCCATACCTACTCGAAACCAAACTGCCCAAACAGTTGCAAAAAGTCTTTGGGACCACTTCTTAATACACTATGGGTTTCCCGAGAAGCTGCATAGTGACCAAGGAGCCGACTTTGAGTCACGTACTGTCAAGGAGCTGTGTAAGGTTGCAGGAATACACAAGGTCAGAACAACCCCATACCATCCTAGGGGGAATCCAGTGGAACGATTTAATCGTACACTGCTCCAAATGCTTGGAACACTGGAAAATGAGAGGAAATCTAGGTGGAAGGAGTATGTAAAACCCCTAGTGCATGCCTATAATTGCACCAGGCATGACACAACTGGATATACTCCCTACGAGCTCATGTTTGGGCGACAACCTCGTCTTCCTGTTGACTTGGCATTCGGGTTGCCAGTGGACACTCCCAACAAGTCTCACTCACAGTATGTGGAAAACTTGAAGAATCGTTTACGGGAAAGTTACGAGATGGCTACCAAAAATGCTGGAAAGATTGCAGAACGTAACAAGCAACGGTTTGACAAGCATGTAGTTGCCTTAACTCTGGAAGAAGGTGACCGAGTTCTAGTGAGGAATGTGCGTTTGCGAGGCAAACATAAATTAGCTGACAAATGGGAGCAAAATGTTCATGTTGTTGTCAAGAAAGCACATAACCTACCGGTGTATACTGTCAAACCAGAAGGAAAGGATGGTCCGTTAAGAACTTTACACCGTGACCTCTTGTTACCCTGTGGATTTTTGCTATCAAATAAGCTTGTAGAACCACCAAAACAGAAACCAGCCAGGAAGCCTCTAACCAGATTTTCCCTTAACAATGAGATGCAGGAATCAGACTTAATTTCCGAAAACTCAGAATCTGAGGAGGAACACATCGTCAGTAATGTGCCTGAAGGAACATTAAGTTTTGAAACTCAAATTATTGTTGGTCCTGAGTACATACCAGTTGGGGAGTCTGGTGTTAGCTTAACAGTCCTCGATCCTGCTGTGGAAGACGTGTCTGTTTCGGAATCTGTAGTAAGTAATCCAGAAGAACCTGCAAAGAAACACTTACCTGGTGTGGAACCTGTGGAAAAAGAAACAAATGAGTTAATTGAAGTAGAAAAAAATTCCAATGCACTTGAGTCAAGTGACACTGTGCCAATTGTCCTGACTGAGAAAAACTCAGAGTCAGAGCAATCCTCAGAGCTTTGGAGTGAGTCCCCTGACCAAACAGCCAAGAATGTGCTAGATAGTTTTGAGTGGGAAACTGAACAAAATCTGATACCCAGCAATGTGGGACATACTGAAATTTTGCAGAATGAGCAACCCACTTGTAATGAACCAGATGATATTTTACTCAGACGATCACAGAGGGAGCGACGGCCTCCCAAGAAGTTTGAATATCCCCAGTTAGGGAATCCACTTACCTTAGTTATACAGTCTTTGTTACAAGGCCTTGATACAGCTCTCTGTTCTTCTTTAGAGAAGTCAGTTGTTGCTCCAGTGCGTCATCTGTGAATACTGTTTGCTGTGCAATGCAAAGGGACTTGCATGTATTCGAGAGGGGAGGGTGTAACCCAGGTTACTGTAGTCCTTATTAAGCCCTTTAACCGAATAAATAAATAAGAACAATAAATGGAGTACATGTAAAATTATTTTATTTGTATTTTGTAATAGTCACAATGTTATCAAAAAGAAAAAAAGAAACATTATATAATCGTAGAATACAGATTAAATTAAATGCATCTATTTAACTGCGAGTGAAAAAAATACTAGCTCCGCCTCCCGGAATGACGTCATCTGCGCGCGTTGAGTTGAGAGAGAGGCAGAATCACAGCGTGAGAGGAGTGAAACGAGAGAAACGTGAACAGCTGAAGCGAGCTCGCGGCCCGCGTCGTGTATAGCTGTAAAATTTGAGAAATTAGAAGTAAAACAAGCAGTTGAAACTTGATTTAGTTGCTGTAATATACTACTGTCCGTACTCAAACCCCCAATCGCGTTTGGACCAAGGACAGGAATCGTCTGAAGCACAGATCTGATTAGGCTGTATTTTTTTTTGGTTCATAAGTGATTTTTCCTTCAACTATAACTACTATATTTCTTGGTGAGTGAATTTTATATTATTGTATTTCACTAAAAGTGATTGTTATAAGTCATTTATGGTGTAAATGGTTCATAAATATAGTCTGAATGTATGTTAAATGGTTAAAATGCACATTAATGTGAATCTAAGTGTGGATTAAGAGCAAATCTGCTGTTTAAATGTTTTTGGGAAGTGTATTAGTGTTACAAACGGACATCTGCAGTTGTCCATGTGCTCTTTTAGCATGTGCAAATGGCTCACATGTGTTTTGCTAACCGTGTGCTTAAACTAGCATGCTAACAGAATGTGAGTGCATCTATTAAGATGTTTTTTCAGTTTAATAGCTATATACAAATACGAAATTTCAATTGTAGTGAAGATAATGTGGTTTAATATGAGAGTTGATACTTTATTGTACATTTATCCTATTTTATTTAAATTGGTTAAGTTTATGTGAGAACTGATTGTATGCACTGATTTATATTCATTGTTGAAAGGTGAATGGAAATTAATGGTGCCTTTCCACCTTGTCTTTTCAAGGTTGGGTTTTTTTTTTTGTGTGTTCTTTTCCTCTGTTTTGTTGTTCCATCTTCTCTGTTCGTGATCCTGACACCTGACATTTGGAGTGTGGAGTTCTAGAAGTCCAAAGTATTCTTGTTTCTGCCATCTTGGAGGACATTCGCTGTTGGTGGAAACTGGCGAGCCGCCCGGTTTTACGGAACCAATATTTCGTGTTGCCCAATTCATCTGATTGGTAGGAAATTTGAGTTTATATTTTCCATCGTCTATCGGACACAGGAACGACTGGAAGCCAGAGTCATATTTAGTTCTATTTTTCTGGAACTGATCTACTAATCAGTGTTAAAACAAAACACTGCAACGGGTGCATTATAAACATTTGAGTTTATTGAACTGAACTTGAACATTTCACAACCAAACAGGTGATCAATCATATTTGTTTGATGGACTAGTGAATCATTTTGCCGGATCACTTTGGTATCTGACAAGAAATTATTTTCTGGGTTAAATTTTCTAGCCGTTTTTTTCCTAATTGAAGTGTTTCAATTATTACTATGGTCTTACTTACCTGAAGAGTGCTGAAGTTGTTTATATTTACCTTTTACATTTTGTTTTTGTGAAGAAAACACTTGACATAGTGTGAAAAGCCTTTATTTTATTTTATTACTTTATATTTGGGGAAATATACATTTCAAAGTCCAAATTTGAGAATAATTAGTTTGTTATTTTATTTAATTTATTTCATTTCTCACTAATATTTACAATATAAATCATATATATTTTGATACAAAAATTCCTGTCTTGTGTCATCATTTCCCTTGTCTTGCTGCAAAGTTGGCTCCAGAGCGAACTTAAACTTCTGATAACTTGGTCCAAAGTTGATAGTATAATATTGTAATCTCCTTGGTTTCTATATCGTGCGGGTTACATGTGCGCGCGCGTTGTCGCCCGGAGGTGTGTGTGTGTGCGCGGACGAGGACAATGTGTGTGTGTGTGTGTTTGTGTCTGTGAAAAGAGCAGAGTGAGACAAGCTATGTGATTTCCTCGACAGTTTTTGGAGTTTTTGCTCAATAAAAGAGTTAGTCGTCTGAATTTTCAAGTCCATCGACTGTATTTACATTGACCCACTGGCAGCTAAAATCCACGCCTACACTATCAAGCATGTATGAACTGTGATTACTTTTATATTGCTGATTAGCTGTTTGGCATTTCACTCTGACTGAAGGCAGTCGACCAATCGCAACAGGCTGTCATTGGTCCAATCCGCGCAGATTAGCTTCGCGCTAAGGAGGGGTTTGGGAACAAATGAATCACTGGACGATTCATAAGGGAGTCGCTGGGATAATTAGGTAAAAATAAATGCAGATTATAAGACCATGAAAGTGTTTTTTGACCTTGCATGCATATTAGACTGTTGTTGGAGACCCTTACAACCAAGATATGACCCTATTTCATGTATAATATGGGCTCTTTAAATGTGATATTTCATTGTTTATATCTAACGACATATTTCCTGACTTTGGTCATTGAAATCTATTACTTGTTCTCAGGTAACGTGTTTTGTCTAAGCGCAAAGATAGGGTAATAATTATTGTAACCACATAGCCTACAATCTGTTTATTGACTGAACGCTTGCCTTTATTTCCTATAATTTATAAACTTATTGTATGTTTTACTTTTATAATGGCCATTCTCGATTATTAAAAATAATATTCAGCAAAAGAGAAGGTATGCTTCATATTTTCATTGAAATTGAAAGGAAGCAGTGATGTTATCGGCTCCGTTTTGTTATAAATATCCACACAGTGAAGATGACGCTCATAAATGCAGCACAACGCCTCAACATTTCTGCTGTCTGTTAAGTTGCTAATATCTAAATGAAAATATGCAGTTTCTTGAATCATGTTGTCATTTTATTGTTGAGAAAGTAAAAGAACGTAGCCAAGGTGATGTGAATGAAGCTATAAAGTACTCTGTTCCCTTTGATTTACCTGTGTGATCGGTAGTCTGTTTTCCATATCAAACTGAGGAGGGGGAGACTGCAGTCTTGATCAAACTTGCAAGACTGAACTGTGTCTAACGTTAGGCTACTTAATATTGAGGAAAAGCCCCAATCATAGAGGCTAATGTCTGCAGCCCTGCCTCTGTTTTCAGAAGTCTCCGTTTTCCCCCATCCACACTGAGACAAAGCAGCAGCGTTTTAGAATAAAAACCGCCTCTTCAGCGTTTGCAAAATGCTCTGATTTTGGCAACCCAAGGTCATTCTGGAAACGTAGCCCTGCGGGCATTTCTGGAGACCGCGATTTACATGGCTGGAGGTACGTATGGCCGCGTTTAGGTTTTTTTGAGCGAATGCTGCGGGGCGGTGTGACGCCGCTCCGCTCCTCCTCTTCGCGCTCGCCGGCTGATGGCTCGCCCCCATGTGGAGGGTTTTCATACATAGACACCCAAACACTGCAGTCCTTTGTAATTTTCTCTATAAATAAAACTTGTACCAGAGAAACAGTAATGTTTTGTCAGCTTGCCATCCTCTGAGAAGAAGGTTGATGGTCGCCTGGCAAACAACAAACCACACCCCCAAATCCAACAAGTAATGAAATCACTCTGATTACTACTACTACTAATAATAATAATCAGATATGGTAATAAAACTGTAGATCAGTTGCCCCTAGCTGACTTCCTTTATAATGAGGTCTGACAGAGTGCAAAACATTCACTTAGTCTACGTGTTGGTCAGCTGAGATCTGTGCCCTGACCTGTTCTGTCCCAACTGCCCTGGCTCAGCCTTGAGCTCCCCTTCCTTTAGCTCTTGGACGCTCCGCAGAGAGGTGACACACTCCACTAATAGGCTGTAATGTGTGCAATTATCATCAGAAAAGGGCGCCCGGGTGCTGATGAACAGTCTTAGCTGCCTTCATTAAGCTCTCCTGTTCCTCTCTGCTCCCTCCGAATGGACCACAATGCGACTGTGAGACCTCCAGACACCGAGACCCTTGCCATTAAGATGACAATAATAATAAAAACCTCCTATTAGCATAATAATACCTGCCAGTGCGATTTTGATGTGTCTTTAATTTAAATGGATGGAAAGAGACTGAGCATTCGGTTTGTTATACGACGCCGATATTCCACATTAGCCTTCCTAATTCACCAGCTCATTTATTTATATAGAACATTTGCTTACTTGCGACTAAAAGCCAATGAAAATAAAAAAGCAGAAGGAAAAGACGGCAATCCGTTTCCACGCGAACGCATTCTTTGAGAGGCTTTGCGCAGGATCTTGTTATTAATCTGTATAAATATTGCCATCTTTAAACACACAAACAAGGCCGTATCAAGAAACACACCTGTATAAACTTTTTTTTTTTTTTTTTTTTTTAAGTCTGAAGAATGTCGATTTGATGCTTCCAAAAAGAAAAGGAAGCTGGTTGTGATTGGATGAGAAAAGCCGGGCCGTGTCAGGTCAGCGGCAGAGCTCCAGTCCTGGCTCCGGTGGCAACAACAGATGGGGAATTTATGACTGAAAGTACTTCCATGTTTTCCCATCATGCGTGCACAGAGAGGCTCGCAGAGGGAGCGTGAATCGCATGTTAGTGCCTTGTGAAAGACGAGAGAGTGTTTCGGTGATGGCTTTTGAGCGATACTGTAATATATTCCCTGTGCTTAAACTCATGTAACATCGAGCACTGCTTCTTTTCACCCCGTTTCCCTCCCCTTCCAAACCGGTGTTCCATTCAGCCTTCTAACGTTACAAGCCTCAGGTATAAGGCAGTATATTTTGTAGATCCAAATCACATCTGTGCTTCTTCCAGCATATTGGCCTCCCTATCGAGTTCATTTCAAATAAATGAGGTGTGTGTTGTGTGCAGTCAGTGCAGAACAGTACAAAATCTGGGCCTGATATTAATTCTGAACACATCTGATGAAATCCTGACCGTGATTATTGGTGCTCTGTGCGTTTTTTTGGCCACTGTGGTCTACTTTTTAGATACAAAATATAATATTTTATAAAACTTGGACACTAGTGATCGGTCATATTATTCGCTACAATTGAGTAATGGAAAAAAGCAAGTTTTTTTAAGGATAAACAATGCACTCTTTTGATATTTTAGTTATGATGTGTTATATATTATGTATTATATTTTGACATATATGATAGGGGATGCATTATGTATTGAATTGTGACACACACAAGGCCTACAGTATATGGGTTCTTGGAAATAAAGCACTTTTGAAACAGTGTGAGGTGCAAGTCAAAATAAAATGCTTTCAAATGTGTGTAACACTAATGCCTTTTCATTCATTTTTAATACCACTCTTGCGTTTCTATACCTGCATCTGTCATGCCATGTCATCAGATACAAAATACAATGAAGAGTGTTGAGAGTACATTTTAACAATGTAAATAAAATAGAAAAGAACACAGTAAAAAAAATGCTGGGTTCCACAAAATAGATTTGTGTTTAGACAACATAACAGAATTAGGTTGACATATCAGTATTTACAAATTTAAGTGAATTGAACATAAAGCAAAGAAGTCGTCACCCCCCCCCCCCCCCCCCTCAAAAAAAAAAAAAAAACACTCAAGAACAGTGTTGTTTCAGCTCATTTTAAATATGTAGAAATATTAAGTTCAAACAAACAACAAGCATTTTTTTTGTGAATGCAGTAAAACAAGATAAATCCTGCAGGAAAAAATAAAAAATAAAAGCAAATAAATAAATAAATAAATAAATAAATAAATAAATAAACTTAGAAAAAACAAAACAAAGAAAAAATATTAGACAAGACTCACTGTAAAAATTCATTCTGGGATCCACATAATGAATTTGTGTTGGGGCAGCATAAAGGAATTAAGTTAACTTCTTCATTTTATGAAAAATAAAAGTTTATTAAACATAAAACAATTAAGTTGTCGCGATCATCAGTGATAGGCCTTGCAGATCGCTGGAAATCTAGCACCCAGACTACAATTCTGCCACTGAAATGAACTACAAGTCCCATCATTCCCTGCACTCACACACACCTGGCCCAAATTCCCCTTGATTGCAAACATGCAGTTAAAGGTTGTAAAGACTGATTATGAGGACTACAAATACAAAGAATTCACACACACACACACATTGCTGAGTCTTGTTTATCTGTAAGAGAGCATGTTAAAGCATTTCCTGTGATTACTGTGATTTTTGACCTTTGCTTTGTTTGTTTTATGTTGTTTTGTCTTCTGTCCTGACCATTAACCTGCTTTTTTAACTACGCTTTGGATTACCTGTATTAGGGAAGTCAAAATTAGTTGTTTCTTCGGTGCACCACGATGAAGATGCAGACAATTTGTTATCGGTTCAGTAAAAATCACTACCGGTTATTATGTACTGACGTCATTTATCTCATTTGAGCTTTATCGCTGTAGCTTACTATGACGAGGGAGGCACGCTTTAAAAGATTTTGAAACCCATTTCTACTGTGACACCTAATGGTCATTTTCATGTATTGCTCTAGAACAGCTTTAACAAAAAAAAAAAAAAAAAAAAGCAAATGCAGGTGTTAAACTCCACTGTGTAAGGTTGAGGTTTCAAGTGAATGTGTGGAGCGGTGAGAGTTCCTGACTAGCCTGCAAAGATAACGAATCTACAGTGATACAGCAAAAGATGTTAGTTTTTAAATTTTTTGTTCTTATAACCTGTTTTGTTTTAACATTGGTCTGACATCCAAATAAACACTGTGAATAAATTTGTATTGATTTGATCATAAAAAGTAACATTTACAAAATACATCAAGTCATAAATTCAGAGTATTTGGTACAAGTCAGGATTCAAACTCAAGCCATTGGCAGCCCAGTCACTCTGTGCACACTCACGGTCCACTAGGCTATACAAGATTAAAAAAAAAATGTGTTACTTGTCAGTCAAATGCAGATTCGCCA